GTTAACTTTATTTTCATTTTATTTGTTGTACTCTTAATTCACAACAAACTTATATGTTGACCTACAAGCCAATTCCTTGCTGTTTTGTGTTTTTTCTTAGTTTTTCATGTGGCTCCACCCACTAGTACCCATCCATCTCAGCAGTCGATAAGCTCCGCCCCTAGACTACCAGCTCCCAGCCTCCAGGATAAACACCAGAAGCTGAGTGAGCACTTCAAGGACTCCACTTTTCCTTCTGTTCATCCCACTTCCTGCTCAACTAATCCTCATCTGTCCCATTGCCATGACGACAACCTCAATAAGCCAAAAGGCAAATGTCCCTTCAAGACGAAGCACACAGAGAACACAGCCAAGGAGGAAGAGAGAGATGAGGAAGGATGTGATGATGAGGAGATACGTGGGAAGGTCAGTTGTTTTTTTCACTGATGCTTTTGGCTGTAAGAGAATGAGGTCGTATATAGGGATGCGCCAATCCACTTTTTTCATTTCCAATACCAATATCTGATGTTTAGTATCAGGCGATACCGATCCGATACAGAAAAACAGTGCTGAATTATCTTAAAATAGTTGTTTTTTAAACGGTAAATGCACTGAATTACAAATTTATTGGAAATTGCACCAGTATAGCACACTTAAACATACCAGCTTCACAGGCTTCACAAACATTTAAAAACAACACAACTTTAATTTGTTCAGTCAGTGCAATTATGAGTATTACATCCAACGTAAAATAAGTAATAATAAAGACACTGAAACTGACAAAAACAATAGGTTGACAACTTTGGTCAAACATGAAAGAATAAACTTCAACATACCTTTCAAATGGTTCAGGAATTTTAAAAATAATGTAAAATAAATAGTAAAGGAGCTGAAATAAGAGGAAAAAACAATAGCTTCACTAACTTGGTTGACAGATATTTAAAATAAAGAGAAATCAGCTCCTGTCCTTATGGATCAGTCACATTGTCACGATACCCGATCAAGAATTATTTTTTTTTATGTCTGTACCGATACCAATATTTGTATCAGATCAGTGTATCTCTAGTCATATACATATAATACCATTTTTTTATTTCCTGATAAGTATGATTCCTCTGGGCTGGGAGCTCTTTATGGAGCTGTGAGGAAGAGAAGGAAGTCATCTACATATAATGAAATTTTATTTCATGATCAGTGGGAATCTTCTGGGCTGGGAGCTCTAAATAAATCTGTGAGGAAGAGAAGAGAAGAGGGTCGTCTGCATATAATAACACTTTCTCTCATAATTAGTATAATTCTTCAGTGCAGAGAGCTTGGAAGAATGAAGCGTCGCTGTTTTATTCTTTCACAATTTAATTAGTTAAAAATAACAAGATTTGATTCTGACAAAAATTAAAAAAAATCTTATACACCCACGTTTGGAGAAATCGAGCCTCAGCTGATTCTTTTTTCGGTCTAGTCTAAGGCAAACATGTAAATTCAAGAAAGTTGTGACTCACAGTGACTCAGACACCCACAAGACCTCCTGGGGGATGAAGGTGGGCGAGAGCGCTTAGTTTCATCCTTGATATCCAGTCACATTTGCTCTGGTGCACCATTACTGAAGGCAGAATGAAGCTGAAACAAACTGGAGGGGAACGCGCCGACCTTCCTTCACTAATTTAATTAAAGCTATGAAAGAGTCGATTCAAACAGGATGGAAAGTTTTAACACCAATACTTCATCCTGTTTTCTCACCTATAATCAAATTTTAAATATTTTAAATTTAGAACTGCTAGACGCGTCTTTTTTTCTAAAACCTACAAGATCCTAAACACAAACAGTTCCGAGTCTCAGCGCCAAGGTGTCTGATACAAGTTCAGGTATAAAACCTCTAAGAGAACCAAAATAAGTCCAAGTCGAATGCAAAAACAGTGTCAAAGTATGTGTAAAACCACTGTTTCACCAGCCAAGTCCAGACAAGGGTATTACGGTAGTCCCTCGTTTATCGCGGGGTGATCCGTACCCTGAAGCCCCGCGATAAGTGAAAAACCGCGAAGTAGGGATAGAGTAGTCCAAGTTCAAGTACAGTAAACTTTATATTAAGGCTTTAGAAACCCTTCCCACTCTCTTGGAATACTCTAAACTAGGGGTGCCAAACTCACTAACAAAAGGGGCCAAAATTAAAACCTTTTTTGAACTAAGGGCCAATTTCAGAATCTACATTAACTCAAATCAGATACCCAGCATCTTTTCTTGGTCACATGTTCCTCAACAAGAGTTTGATTGGTCTCATTTGATGATCTCTGTTGTGCTTTTGACATCATAATCAAAGATTACTAAAATATTCAAGAAATAGAAGTACTTTACATTTCACATATCATCTTGGGGGCCAGATAAGATGTCAATGAGGGCCACATTTGGCCCCTGGGCCTTGAGTTTGACACATTTGTTCTAAACTCCTAAATGCACGTCATTTTAACAACATGAGTTATTAAATTTTACTTACTAGCTCTGCAGAACAGCAACAGCTCTGGTTCCGGTCCAACTCTGTTCTATTCCAACTTAGTTTCTGCAGACCTATCCTGCAGCAATGAAGCCCACAAATCAGTCTTCTAGACTCTTAAACCAACTAATGTGAACAACATACAGTACTTATATGTACAGGAGCTACAAAGTTTTACTTACAAGGGCTCTGCAGAGCAGGAGTGGCTCGGTTCCGGTCTGACCCGATAGATGAAAAAGGTCGCAGTGCAGCAAGACTGAAGCCCAACGCTGCTGCTCCAGGAGCAAGGCTGCCCAGGATTTAATCCACCACCTCTGGCCCAGTCTGGACCAGCTCTGCGTGACCAGAACCAGGCGGAAGCCTGCAGCAGTCTGTTCCCTGCAGCTCCCAGCATCTGGGTCACACTGAGTCCAGATCATCTGCAGCTACTCAGCAGTGAAGATCCAACTTGAAGGATGAGTTCGGCTTCAGAATTATTTTACTTTCCTCCTGCCAGTCCTGTGAGCTTATTATTGTTATTTCTGACTTTGGTTGCAAAACTTGCCCTCCGTTTGCAGCGAGCAGAGGTTGGAAGCACTGTTGACTTCTGGGAAGTGAACTGATGGCTTCTGGGTAACGTAGTTCTTTAGACTGGCAAAACAGTGAAGGCATAATGAAAGAAAACTACAAAATGGCAGCCCTTTTAAATATATATATATACACTGTATAATATGCACATGTACAGTACTTAAACAAACCAAAATTGAGCGAGTCCGCGAAAAACGAACCGTGAAGTCGTGAGGGATTATTATAATACTATTCTAAAAAAAAAACAAGTCCAGACCAGGCTCGGATCAGGACACGTGGACAGGTCCCACGAGACTGAAACAAATCCAAAGTCGGGACGTTTTTACCCAGAAGGCAGCTCAAGTGTCCTCTGTTTTTCATTTCTGTTCATTGTTGGAAATGTCTTGATTGGAGTTAAAACGTGGATGGATGGATGGTTGGATGTGTGCGTTTTCAGTGTGTGCTTTCATTGCGTATGCTTGTGTGTGTGTGTGTGGCGTTTGTGTGGTTTTGACAGCTGCTGCACCAGAGATTTCCTCCAGGCAGCGAGGACACACAAACACACCGCACACTCTTCATCCAATCCTCCTCCTCGTTTGAGAAAACACACAAACACACACCTCCGGGGCAGAGCTCGCTTCCTGTTTGCCGATGCGTGGCAGCGAGCGGTTTTGTTTGACAGATCCGTGAACACACACACACACAACACACACACTGTCTAAATGCCGAGAGGCGGAGTCTGTTACCGTGGCGTCTGTAGTGCAGCAGCGCAGCTTTGTTCCTCTTTACCTACTTTCAAACTGCAAATAAAATATTTCAATAATTAAATTATTTGAAGTTTAAATGTTGCTGATATTCAGACTGGCCTCTGCCTCCAGGGCCACTGAGCAAGGTACTTCTGAACCTTAAAGCTCTTATCATAGATGTCTCATGAAGCTGTAGAGAGCCTGTCATTTGAAGCAATGAGTGTCTATCAACTACTAATAAACACTTATGTTAAAATAATTAACTCTAAAATGTTTCCTGCTGTTGAAACTTGTATGCTGCCTGTGTTGTAGTTGTGTCAAAGGTGATGGATTAGTCACTGAAAGTCTAGTTTGTCTCCATAGATGACACTAAAGTAGCAAAGACATCCATCTATCTATACGTCTGTCCATCCATTCGTTCATTTTCTTTATCTACTTTCTGCTTTACGAGTCGCTGGGGAGCTGGTGCCCATCTCCAGTGGGCATTGTGGGAGAGGCAAGGTACACCCTGGACAGTTTGCAGGTCTAGCTAAGACATCTGACTTTTAAATACTGTATGTTTTTAATGAAAGACAGAATCCAGGCAGTTCTGAATCTGCAGTCACTTGAGCTTAGGAGGCACCCACAGACTAAAAACAGGCTTAAGATGGCAACACCATATTCAGACGGGTATGTACTAGAGTTGCATTCAGGCCCAAAAAAATCTGATCCGACCCAGCCCGCAGTTATCATTTCCAAATCCCACTCGACCCGACGAATTAACAGTAATTACAGGTCCGAACCTGGAAAAAACCCAACATTTTTAATTGGTTATTAACGGTCGGAGACGCGTGGCTGAATGGGGCAGAAGATCGTCTCATGGGGGGGTGTTTGTCCTTTCATGGCCGTAAAAGAGCATTTAAACCCTGTTTCTGCCTGCATTCTGATTTATTCAGACACGGACCCTGCTCTGACACATCTGCTTTGGGATCTCACCTGTTCGGGTCATCGGTCGCGCGCGTCTGCTGAGTGCGGCGGCTGAATGAACGCCCATTTGGGCGATGGATCGCTTTCTGGCAGTACAGTCCCATCTGAAACTTAACTGAACTTTTTACCTCTATCAAGGCCGGTTATCTCGCGGTGAAATGGCCGTGTGTGGTTGGTGATTGTATGGCAGGCCATGTTATCATATAATTGGATCACGGCTGATCCTGACCCAATTAAAAGCCCGACATCGACCCGACCCACTCATCCAACACATTATCATGGCCCGGCTCGCCCCGAATTCGGGTGGGGTGGGGCCAGGCTTAGGGCTTGGGTTAGAAATGACAGCTCTAGTATGTACCTGGTACCTACTTAGTACTTACTGGCTATTTACCTGGTTGGTGTTGGGTTTGTACCTGATTACATACATGGTATCTACCTGCCAGATATGCAATTTTGCTGCTCAACATTATTAATGCATAAATTATTGCTTTGGTTTGTGTATTTTATTAGCATTCCTGTAAACATCTTTAACACATTTACTTAATGTAGCATTTGGACTTTTTTGTATTTATTTTTATATTCTTGTGTTGTTTTCCTCCCCTTTTATCTCTCTCCTTAAAGAATCTTTGCCTTTTGTCCAGCCACGCTTGTAAATAAAATAACAAAATCATAATCTGTCCTGCCAGGGTAAATAATTATTAAATTACTTGTTTTTTTTTTATTTTAGTACTTATCTGCTGTGTACTTATTTATTAACTAATCTCTATGTACCTATCTGTACTTAAAGGGTACATACCAGGTACTTACTTGGTACTTACATGCCACTTATCAAGTATTTAGCTGCTACATGCCTGGTATTTACCAAACCAAGTTCAAAATGGGTCAAAGATGTAATTTTAAACAGTCCAACACTCTAAATATGAAACCAATCCCATAAAAAATGTGTCCAAAATGAGTCAAAAACCAAATTAAAAAATATTGTCAAACCCATTCAAGGCCATGTTTGAGTCATTTCTGCACAAAGTCATTGTAAACCCTGTGAGAAAAAAAATAAAAGTGGCGATTCAGTTAAAACCAGGCAAAAACCAAAGTCCAAAACATTTCATGTCCAGCATGAAAGTCTAAATATAGCAAAAATAAATTTCAAAACCAAAAGAATACCCTCGTCCCAAGTCCGAAGTAATCTGGCACCAAAAAGACACATGCTTTAATCTAATTCAAAGTAATATTCAAGCTAATACCTATTCAAAGTACTTCCAAACCACATCAAAACTCAAGCCTGAAACTAGACAATAATTCATTGCAAAACCAGTCTGAAACTGGAGTTAAACCCCTACAAACACCAGTTAAAACCAAGACTTTATTTGCTGTACTGAACACGGAAAACACCAAGTAACCACAAAAATAAGACCCTTTAGGTTTGCTTGCTGTGAGAATGTTTTAAATCTTTTATTGAAATGGTGATCGATTGTCTTTTTCTACCCACCACACTCAGGTGTCTCCGTCTGACATATCCGACTCACCAGACAAGCGCCCCTCCTCTCCTCAAACCCCTCACTCAGCTCGGCCCATTCCTCCAGAGGTGCGCCGGCTCATCGTGAATAAAAACGCTGGAGAGACACTGCTGCAGCGTGCCGCCCGGCTTGGATACGAGGTAACAAGAAACAAACGCACACGTGGTTACATTCTGTAATTAACTTTGTTACGATGCAGATTTCAGTTTGGGCCCCTTAAATACGTATCTTCATTTTTTTCATCTTATTCAAAATTTTCTCTCGAACTTTAACTTGTTGCTTCAGATGAAAAACAAATGTTTGAGCCACACCCTCAGCTCATTCCTTGGTCCTCTGTTTTGGACAGATTTTACTGAAACTTCGTGGTGGGCACAGTTCCGCTAATTTGCTAAAAAAAAAAAACAGCTGTTAAAAAATACCTCTAGCAGAACAGTATCAAAGAGCTAAAATCACAAGAACAGGAGCTAATAGCTAAAATGAGTTGCATGTTTTCTAATAGCTAAAAGCTAAAATGATCAAAACAGGACCACAAAGCTAAATAAGCTGAACTTAGCTAAAAGCTAAAATTATTAAAATAGAAGTTTAAAACCAACAGTACAGATAGTTAAATGCTAAAACTAGAAAAACTTTGGTAATACACTGGAATATCTTGCAAAAAGAGCTGAAGTTCTCGACCTTGACCTCTCAAGATATCTGTTAAGTTCCTGGCAAACCAATACAGACATGTTCTTGTTTTTTAGTTTTCTACACTGGGTTGTTGTTTTTTTTTTTTGTTACATTTTCTTTTAAATACCATTTTATTTTCACTTGTTAAAAAAAAATCTCTATTTGTACGCATCCTTTATGATATCTATTATTGTCTTTGTCGTCTACGGTTGTCGTCACTCTTTGTTAAAATTCAGGTCTCTCTTGTAAATGAATCCCTGAGGCTCGATGGGATTAACCTGTATAAATAAAGGTTGAATGAATGAATCTTATAACAGCTACAGTAAAAGCGGAACTAAGTTTTCGTTTAGCGAATTAGCATTTTCGCTAACTTTGGAAACCTTTAGCTGAATTAGCTTCTGCTAAATTAGGTTTCATCAACTTTAGGTCTGCTAACAAAATTCCCAAGCTTGTTCCTCTGTTTGTTGTGGGCGTACCTTGAAGAGCCCATTAGGCATGCTATTGGCTTACTACGTGCTCTCTCAGGACATTATTACCTGCAGTGTCCACTCAGTGAGGACTGAACTTGGCAAAAGGGCCTTCTCCTACTCCGCTCCTGTTTCCTGGAAACTGATATAGATCTGAAGCTCTCGACCTTGACCTCACTAAGTGGTTTCAAACATTTGTTAAGTTCCTGGGAAAAAACATAGCAGACATGTTCCTCTTTTTAGTTTTCTATACCGCTTTACAACCTAGCTGGGTTTTTTTAAATACCATTTTATTTTCACTTGATATTCTCAATTTGTATGCATCCTTTATAATTGTCCACTGTTGTCATCACTCTTTAATAAAATCAGGTCTCTCTAGTAAACGAGTCCCCGAGGCTCAATGGGATTAACCTGTATAAATGAAGGTTGAATGAAAAGTTAACAACTGTATGAAAATACAAGTACAATATTTTTAAATGACCATGGGTAATAAATACCACAACCAATACATCTCAAGTTGTAAATATTTTATAATAAATTGACATGGATACAAGTTGAAGGGGCTTCGTTTTGGTGCTCCTTTTGCCATCATCATCATCACTAAAGTCCTGCCGAGTCCCGAGTTAGAATTCAACAAACGTCTAAGATCAAGTGGAGACAGAAAACACACACACACACACACGTGTGATATGAATACTTCATGCATGGTGCGACAGCTCCTGTCAGGACCCACGAGTGTTGGCCTCGCTCTCTCGTTGAGGTGCAGCGGTGAAGCTAACGAGCTCAGTTTGCTAATGAAGCCGTCATCCATCACTGCACGTACGTTGCGCGCGCGCACGCACACTTTTGCTGCTGCAATCAGTTTTCAGAGAGCAGCAAAGGAACAGAGGGAGGTTTCATTATGTTTTTGGTCTGAAGGTGGAACCGTTCTTCACCTGCAGAGCTTCTTCATTGTCTTGTGAGACGTGTTTAACCCTTTAAACCCAGAAACGGGACCATGTTCTGTCGGAAAACCATTCAGGCTGGTTGTGTCTTTCCTCTGAACGTGAATGTTCAGTCTTTTGTTCTTCTTCGTCTTGCAGTCCTGATGACAAGTAAAGGGATGTGTCTTCACTCTTTAAGGATGCATCTTATTGTGCTTTTAAATAGTGAATGACATTCACGAGGGAGTTTCCAAAATGTCTTGAAATAATTTCAAGGGTTCTGTCACAAGAATTTTGAGAAAGTTCAATTGTTACTTAAATGGAACAAACCCTTTTCAAAAGCTTCTCAAATTTTGTTTCTTCAAGTCACGTATGAAAATCAAGCAATATATAAAAATTGTGAGTGGCACGGCGGCACAGTGGTTAGAACTGTCCCCTCTCAGCAAGAAGGTTCCAGGTTCCCCTCCAGGCTCGTCTCTGTGGCATTTGCATGTTCTGCCTTTACAGGTCTTTCCAGGTACTCCAGTTTCCTTCCACAGACCAGAAATATGTAGGTTAGGTCAACTGGTAACTCCAAATTGTCCATAAGTGTGTGTGAGAGTGTGAATGTTTTTTTGTTTTTTTTGTCTCTGTGTCCCTGTAATAAACTGGAGACCTGTTCAGGGTGTACCTTGCCTCTCCCAGTGACTGCTGGAAAGAGTTCCCCAGTTTCCCTTGACCTGGAAAACAGAAGCTGATAAAAGTGATGGACACTGTATAAGACGGCGACAACGGTATCGTTACTGATCAGGGACAAAAATGAGAATCTCAAATCATGTCTTACACAAGAGGAATGATTGTTGGAAGGGGATCGGGGCCCATATTCATACATTCCAGATTTCACGACTTTCGTGCAAAACCTTTGCCCCAATGCGGCATTACAGTCACACAATGGTTGGATGATAGTTGCAATTACAAATAAATCATAATTTTGACATATTATTATCACAGGACCTTCATGAGACTATCCTAGGAAGTTCATGAGATTATTGCAGAAAAATTTCAAGACTATCACAAGAAGCTCTTATGACTATTGCAAGGCATTCTTGAGACTATCAAAAGGCAATGTTGAGACTGTTGCAACATGTTCTTGACAGTTGCAAGACATGCTTGAAATTACCACAGGATGTTCTTGAGACTATCACAAGACATCCTTAAGACTATCTGAGGACTTTATTGAGGCTATCAAGGAGGCTTTTGAAATATTGCAGGATATTTTTTTTTACATTTTTGCTACATGACGCTGATGATTTAGCACATTTGTGCAATGTTAGTGCAATATGCACAGACATAAGTACAAAATATTTTAGACTGCAACTTAAACATACCGTGTTTATATGCAAATGTCCCATAATTTTTAGTCCCTGATTACTGACTATAACTTGTAGCAAAGGGAGACAGTGGATTCATGTTGAAACCGTATAATCGTAGATGAGATTCCTTAAGACTTGAAGTTGTACTGAGGTGGTGACAAAGTTGTTTCTCTGACTTTTGGGTCATTCTCGTGATCTTTTTCTGGACAGTTAAGGCGTTCTGGTCTCACAGTGTTTTTTTTCTCGTTTCCAGGATGTGGTTCTGTACTGTTTGGAACGGCGTCTTTGTGATGTCAACCACAGAGACCATGCTGGGTACTGTGCCCTGCATGAGGCCTGCTCTCGTGGCTGGCTGGGTATTGTACGCCACTTGATCAACTACGGTGCCGACGTCAACTGCAGTGCTCAGGACGGAACCAGGTACGTTCTGTCTCAGACAGGCTGTGGTATTACAGTACTAAAATCTGTGGTTTGATGTGGATTTATTGTGTGAGATACACTAAATTATATTATGATTATGACTGCACACATACTCTCTCTCTCACTCACTCACTCACTCACTCACTCTCACACACACACACACACACACACACACACATATATATGTATATATACAGTAGTCCCTCGTTTATTATGGGGGATCCATACCCTGAAGACCCGCGATAAGTGAAAAACCACAATAGGGATAGTGCAAGTAGTAAGTAGTGGTGCAGAAGGAAGCTTTTTCTGCAGCTCACAAATGTGCAGCGGGTGCTAAATCATTTAAAATAATTTATTTTAAATTAAAAGTCCATGCCAATCGTGCGGCTCATCCATCAATCAGCCAATCGTGTGTCATGTTCAATCTTATTTTGAAAAATCGCAATAGAGCGAGTCCACGATAAATGAACCGCGAAGTAGCGAGGGAATATATATATATATATATATATATATATATATATATATAATTGTATAATTTGTGTAACTGCACACTTTTGTAATTTGGTTCCTTTTTGTATTAAAAAAATAATTCTGCAAGAGAGTGGGTGCTACATATATGTCAACTACAAAATATAATATTTTTGATCATTTTTGTAATTTCATTACATTTTATGATTGTATAATACATTGTGTTGCCTGCATAAAGACGATTGTCTTTAGGAAAATGTCAAATATTGAATTATTGGCTTGCATTCAGGACTTTGTTTTTAACTTAAAGGGCTTTTACAATACAATAACAAATGACTGCATTTTGTTCCAATGTATAAAGACTTACCCTTAAAATTTAGATTTTTTTTTCAAGGAAATTCATATTGTTTGCTATTTTGCATGCCAAAGTTTTAAACAAAGGTTGATCAACTATGTTAGTCATTTTGAATTTGATTGACTCCAAAATGTAATCAGTTTTTGATGTACAGCCAATGGTTATTTTCAGAGAGTTTCATTTTCTAACACACACACACACACACACACTCACAATTAGATTATTCCCCACCACCATGAAGAGTGGGCTATCCTATAACTTTAAGTTAGTGTTTATGACTTTACTCATCTCTGTATTCTGATCAGGCCACTTCATGATGCAGTGGAAAATGACCACCTGGATGTGGTACGATTCATGCTGGCCTGCGGTGCTGATCCTACCTTGACCACCTACTCTGGGCGAGGACCAATCAGCATGACACACAGCGCAGCCATGGAAACATTTCTGGAAGGTAAGAGTTGTTATTAAGATATTGTAGAAATATTGTAGGAATTTGAAATAAACACTATAAAAATGTATACAAGTACTTTTTTCCTCTGCTGATATTGGAGACCACTTCCACTGTAGATCCTCCTATGTTTTTTTTTTCCTTTGAAGTCCACGGCCATCTCCTTCATCTTCTTCACATTGATGTGAAGGATATTCTCCTTGCACCAGCTCTCCAGGGTTTCCATCTCCTAGCTGGACTCATCGTTGTTTGTGATGTATCCCACCACCGCTGTATCATCTGCAAACTTTACAATGTGACAATGTCAGTATGCACAGTCATACTTCTCACCCTATCTCTGAGGGAGCATCCAGCTACTCTGTGGAGGAAACTCATTTCAATCGCCTGTATCCGCAATCTTGTTCTTTTGGTCACTACCCAGAGTTTGTGGCCATAGGTGAGGGTAGGAATGTAGACCAACCGGTAAAAAGAGAGCTTTGCCTTACAGCTCATCTCCCTCTTCACCACAATGGACTGGCACATAGTCCGCAATACGGCAGACACTGCACCAATCCGTCTGTCAATCTCACGCTCCATTCTTCCCTCACTCTTGAACAAAACCCCTAGATACTTGAACTCCACTTGAGAAAGAGCCTCACCCTCAACCCGAAGAGAGCAATCTACCAGGGGGAAGGGGAAGTCTGAGATTGTCATCATTGTATGTTCCCATACAATGGTGAAATTGGTTCTCTTCATTTATCCCATCACGTGAGATACACTCAGGTGGAGTAGTGGGCAGCCATGTAGGTGCCCGGGGTGCAATTGGGGATTGGGCATCGTGCTCAGAGACACCACGACATGTGGGAATGGCTGGGAGTCAAACCGCAACTTTTTTGTCCCCAGTTGGCTGCCCTACCTCTACCCCATCTCGGCCACATGAGGATTTCTGAAGACCATGTTCTCAAATTTGAAGATGCTGATTCTCATCACAGCCACTTCACACTCTGCTGTGAACTGCTGCAGTGAGAGTTAAAGACTATGGCACGATGAAGCCAACAGGACCACATCATCCGCAAATAGCAGAAATCGAATCCTAAGGTCACTACACAGGACTCCTTCCACCCTTTGGTTACACCAGGAAATTCTGTCCATAAAAGTTATGAACAGAGTCAGTGACAATGGGCAGCTCTGGTAAAGTACAACTCCCACCCAGAAGAAGTCATGTGTTCATGATGAACAAACCATGACTAGCACAGAAGTGCAACAACAGAAAACCTCTCTGATTCAGATCAAAGAGGACGTTCCTCCCAATCACGTCCCTTCAGGTCACACTGTCATTACCTACGTGGGCATTGAAGTGCCCCAGCAGAATAAAGGAGTCCCCAACTGGCGCACCTTCCAGCACCCCCACCAAGGACTCCAAAAATGCTGGATACTCTGAACTGTCATTTGGCACTGTTACAATGGGAGCTGGATGCTGGCCACGGGCCACTGCAGTTAGCTGCTGCTAGCCATGGGCCAGCGTGGGCTGGAGGCAGGTCCTGAGTCCGGGAGGAGGCCTAAGGCCCACAGCTAGCAGCTGCTAGCTGAAGTGTCCCATGGCCCGCATCCAGCTCACGTTGTATCCAGCTCCCGTTGTAACAGCATGTAGGCAAAAACAACTGTCAAAGCCCATCCCCCAACCACAAGGAAGCTACCCTCTCATCTACTGGGAAAAACTCAAACACACAAGCACCAAATTGGGGGGCTAAGAGTAGACCCACACCAAGTTGGCACCTCTCACCATAGGAAACTCTAGAGTGGAATAATGTCCAACCCCTCTCAAGGAGATTGGTTCCAGAGCCCATGTTGTGCATCGAGGTGAGCCCAACTATATCTCCTTCCCCGCCAGAGAGGTTACGTTCCATGTTCCAAGAGCCAGCTTTGGTAAGCCAAGGTAAAAAGCACCAATACTGCTGCCTTTGGCCACTGCCCATGGAGTCATGCACCCGACTCGTATGGCCCCTCCCGCAGGTGGTGGACCCACAGGACGGCAAACCTATGTTGCTCATTCAGGCTGAGCCTGACCCGGCTTCTAACAAAGCCAGTACAATAATTCACTTATAGTTTAGTGGAGCAAGTTCCAGTTATTCAGGTTATTTATTTCAGTTTGCTCAAACAATCTAATTCCATCCATCCATCCATCCATTTTCTTTACCCGCTTATTCCATTTTTGGGTCACGGGGGTCGCTGGTGCCCATGTCCAGCAATCACTGTGCGAGGGGCGGGGTACACCCTGGACGGGTCGCAAGTCCATCACAGGGCCACATAGAGACAAACGAGACAAACAAACATTCACTCTCTCAGTCACACCTAGGGACAATTTAGAGTTACCAATCAGCCTAACATGCATGTTTTTGGACTGTGGGAGGAAACCGGAGTACCCGGAGAAAACCCACGCATGCACGGAGAGAACATGCAAACTCCACCCAGAAAGGCCCCTGGACCGGGGTTTGAACCAAGGACCTGCTCGCTGAGAGGCAGCAGCTCTACCAGTTGCGCCACCGTGCTGCCTACAATCTAATTCAATGCAGTTAATTTTAATTAATTAATTCCACTTTTATCAAGTAAAAATTGTACAGTTAATTTAATTATAGTTTCATTCAGTTCATAAATACAGCCCAAATAAAGTCTATTATATAGTATTTTAAATCTGTATGTCATTTCAAAAAGGTTTGAATTAATTCAAGACAAAAATTATAGTTTCACTCAATTTTTTTTCTGATAAATAATTAACTAAACTCAATTAGAATCAGATTATCTCCAATTATTTTCCAGGAGTACATTGCAGTTCATTCCATTGATCCATCCATTATCTTCCACTTGTTTGGGAGCTGGATCTCAGGGGCAGCAGATTGAGCAAGGAGGCCCAGACAATTCTTTCCACAGCCTCTTTTTCCAGCCCTTCTGTGAGGATACCAAGGAGTTCCCAGGCAAGCTGAGAGACATAGTCTCTCCAGCGTGTCGTGGGTCTTCCCCAGGAACTTCATTCGGACATGCCCGTAAAACCTCACTAGGGAGGCATCCAGTTCCAGTTGCCTGAACCACCTCAACGTGTTCCTCTCAATTTGGAGGAGCAGTGGCTCTACTATGAATTTTTTCTAGATAACTGATCTTCTCACCTTATCTCTAATTGAACATCCAGCCATCCTTTGGAGAAAACTCATTGGATCACTGGTATATGTAATGATGTTCTTTCAGTCATTACCCAAAGTTCATAACCATAGGTGTGGGTAGGAACGTAGACCAACCGATAAACAGCAAGATTCGCCTTGCAGCTCACCTTCCCCTTCATCAAAACAGACCTGCAAAGAAACTGCAATACTGTGGAAGCAGCACCAATCTGTCTATAAATCTCATATTCCATTCTTCCCTTACTCATGAACAAAACTTTGAGATGCTTGTGCTCTTCCACTTGAGGCAGTATCTCACTCCAAAACTGGAGAGGGCAATTCAGCCATTTCTGAATGATGACCATGGCCTTAGATTTGTGAACCACTGTGGTGAGAGCTGCTGATCACAGCACAATGATGCCAATAGGACTCCCATCATCCACAAATAGCAGAAATGGAATCCTGAGGTCACCAAACCGGACTCCCTGTGTCCCTGGCTGCAGTGAGGAATTCTGTTTATAAATGTTATGAACAGAATTGGTAACAATGCACAGCTCTGGCTAGCAGTACTGGCAGTGTCTGACTCCCACCCTGAAGGGGTTTGACTTACTGCTGGCAATGCAAACCAAACTCACACCACTTGTATAGGAACTGAATGGCCTGTAGCAATGGACCCCAATCCCATACTCATGGAGCACCCCAACAGTGTACCCCAACTCAGATTCCTCCATACAAGACATGCTGGTGGGGTTGAGAAGGTCCAAAAAGTATTTGTTTCACCTTCCGAGAACATCACTGGTTGAAGTCAACAGCACACCATGCCCACTAAACACAGTGTTGGTAAAGTGCTGCTTTCTTCACCTCAGCTGCCTGATGGTTTGCCAGAATCTACTCTGAGCTATTCAAAAGTCTCTATTCAAGACTTCACTGAACTTCTTCCACATCCAAGCCTTAGCAACAGCCAGGGATGCAGCCTGCTTAGCCTGCCGATATCCCTCAGCTTCCTCCTGAGTCCTAACAGCTAACATGGCCTAATAGGACTTCTTCAGCTTGATACTCTCCCTCATCCAGTGTGTCCACCACTGGGTTCAAGGATGGTCTTTGCAAGAGGCACTGACAACCTTGAAGCCACAGCTCAAGACTGCCTCCTTGACAACAATCCATTCTGACTCTGTTCCCCACCTTCGCTGGGATATGGTTGAAGTTCCATCTGATGTGATCTTTTGCCAGACATTCCCAGCAAACCCTCAGTACACTTGAAGGTCTATCTGGCCTGCCCAACATCTTTCCCCGCCATCTGTTCCAACTCACCACCAGTGGGTGATCAGTTGATAGCTCAGCTCCTTTTTTCCCCCAAGTGTTTGAAACATCCAGCTGCAGATCAGACGACACAACTACAAAGTCTATCGTCGATCTGCGGCCCAGGGTGCCCTGGTGCATTTGTGGACATCCTCATGTTCATACATGGTGTTTGTGAAGGAAAAACTGTGACAAGTACAGAAGTCCAACAACAGAGCACCGCTCCGGTTCAAATCAGAGGCCATTCCTCTCAACCAGCCCCAACAAACCATTTATTCTAATTTTATACAAAATAGTATAAAAACATGACTATAAAAACCAATAGATGAAGCACTAAGTTTTAGGAAAAAACTTACTAAAAAATGATCAAATATTGTGAAAGAAAAGTGTTCGAATCAACAAGGAGTTGAACGTATCTGTGTGTATGTGTTTGTGTGTGTGTATGTGTGTACTCGGCAGCCTGTCTGATTACCATTCCCTGCCTGTATTTGTTCTCTCCATCTCCTCCTCCCTTCGCTCTCTCCAGAGGAGTTTAATGAGGCTTGGCTGCTGAATCCCAGAACAGCTTACTGACAAACACACACACACACTCCTGCCAGCATCCGTCTCCTCAGTGCAGAGCGCCACGGCGGCGAGTCGGCACCGTCTGAACACAAACACTCATCTTCTTCACCACATATTTCACCGTGTGTGGCTCCACTGTTTTCAGCTCGCTGCCTTCATCCTCTCTGATTGGTCGGCTCTTTGATCGGCTTTAACTCTGTGGCTCTTTCTGCCTGCAGACTATCTGTCTGACATCCAGGGAAGGTCGGAGGGCGACCCAGGCATCTACTGGGAGTTTTACGGCAGCTCGGCATGCGGTTAGTTCACACACAAACACCGCACTGATGTCCTCAGGAAAAGAAAGCAGGAAGGCTGGAAAAAAAGAACAATAAATCAAAGGACTTTGCTTCCATCTGCCATTATTGAAGACAAACAGATGAAAAGAAAAGCAGCAATAAGTATCATGGTTGAACCCTAATCTGAGCGCTTTATACAAAGGAAAGAGTCCACCATTTTTATTATTTATCAAACTAAAACAAAATGGAAAAACATTTAACAAGTCAATATTTAACCACCAAAATAAGTTTAAAAATCAGTGTGTGGATGAGGGCAAGCAAGGAAGCAGAAAATAGCAATGAATTATCTTCATGAAACCAGGAATGGACAAATTAGGACTAGAAGAACTCGGGCTAAAGAAACATTACACTACTTCATGAGATATTCTATTAACAAATTAGGCCAACAAAGATCTGGACTGGTGCTATGAAACCAGAGCTAAAGTAGGCCCACAAAGACTGGACCTGAAGAACTAGACCAGAAAAAATGTCAGACTGAAAGAACTAGTACAGAAAATAACCAGTCATTTGAATAATTATGTTTTGTTGCTCTTTCAGAGACTATGACTGAAGTGGGAGTCTATAACATTCTGGCTGACCCACCGGGACCAGAAGAAGATGAGGAGAATGAAGAAGATGACATGGATGAGGAACATCGTGCTAGGAGGGAAGTGTTTGAGTTTGAGCTTTCTGATCGACCGCTGCTGCCGTGCTACAACATCCAGGTGTCACTGTCACAGGGGTGAGTCAAAAATACTCACCTTCCTTGTGTTGGTATAACAGGAAACTGTCCATATGTGGACTATAAATGGGTACTACAGGAAAGTAAATGTCGAAGGGTCAAAGGTTTTATGTTTATTTATTTATTAACCTTTATTTAACCAGGCAAATCCCACTGAGATCACAAATCTCTTTTGCAAGGTAGACCCGGGCTTGAAGGCTGCCTCACATGCATGTTTTTGATCTGTGGGAGGAAACCGGAGTACCCGGAAAAAACCCACGCAAGCATGAGAAGAACATGCAAACTCCACACAAAACGACCCCAGGTCCAACTGGGGGTTGAACCCAGGACCTTCTTGCTGTGAGGCAACAGTGCTAACCACTGAGCCATCGTGCTGCCGTTTTTTATGTTAACATTAGGAACAGATTATGTAGGAGCCAAGGAACCTGGATCTAAATGAACAATCAAAAGATGGAGGATTAAATTCTAAAGAACCCTGGAGAGAAAAAAATGAATGTAGAAATAAGGTTTTTTAAAACTGAAATATATTTAAACTAAATAATTTGACTAGAATCAGGACTAGGATTAATCTGACTAAAGGTAGTAGTACAGTAAAACCTTTGAAAGTTCAAGGAGATCCAAAAGAACAAACCTTTTAAAGTTCAAGGAAATTCTGTAGGTCTGGATCTCTTATTGAATAGGGAATAAGAGAACCATTAGTAGTTTTAAGTACTAAAAGTATATGGACTTCATGATATAGCCCTCAAGGTCATCCTAAATATTTATCATTAAGAGCAGCATCATCAGCATAGCTGCATGATTGTAAATCTTCGTCATTGCCACAAAGACAAATGTTGACCATGGTTCTAAAGTCTTATCTGAACATTTAAAGTTTAACTTTAGGTCAGATCTGATTTATCCGACCTATGAACTAAAATTATTAAGATGAAAAAAATAAACATAATCATAATGAAGAGCATCATCATCAGCATGGCTGAATAGGTATAAATCTTTGTCATTTTTATTGAGACTAGTGTTCATGAGATCTTGAAAGTCTTGAGCAACACCGTCACATAACTGAATTGGTGGTGGTTGTTTTAACGACAAAGCTGCGTCCTCCAAACCATATGGTTTCAACCTGCCTCCACTAGATGTTGAACGTGTGGTATTTTGATTTTTTTTCCCCAACATTAACCCATCTTCCCATTTAAAATGTCTAAGCAAATACAGTGGGTGAGGAAGTGCAAAAAAAGAGTTCTGATCAAGAGCAATGTTGGAAGAGGGGAGCCTGTGTGGTCTCGCCAATTGGGGGAATTGAGAAGAGATCATGAAGGCTCCCTAAAAGGGAGATGAGGTTGGGATGAGAAGACTCATAGCCCCCAAGGTAAGGAAGAAAGTTTAGGAAGAGGTGAATATATTTTTTTTTTGCCTAGTGGCAGAGGAAATTGGAAGGAGAAAATTAAAGCCCCTAGGTTGGAGAGAAGATGAGGAGATGATACTGGTAAATCCTCGCCAGGTGAAAAAAGAGCGCAGGAGGAGAACATAATTCCTTGTCAGGTGGAGAAGGACTGTGGAAGGAGGAGACATAAATCCTTGACAGGTGAAAGAGGAGGTTGCGATGGGGAGACCATTGTCTCTCCCCACCTCCAAGGAAGGAGAAAAGGTTGGGAGGAGGAACACAAAATTCCTCACGAGGAGGAGAACATAATTCCTTGCCAGGTGGAAGATGAGATTAGGAGGAACCCATGAGCACTTGTTAACTGGGAGAGGATGTTGGGAGGAGACCGTGACAGCCCCCAAGGTAGGGAAAGAGGTAGGGTAAAGGAGATTGTGATAGCCCCAACAAAGGGAAGAATGTTGGGAGGAGGATAAAATAATTCCTTTCCATGTGTAAGAGGAGAGCGGAAGGAGGAGAACTCCCAAAAGGTCATGAAGAAGGTTAAGTAATCCCCAACATAGGGAAGAAGGTTGAGAGGATGAGAAAATAATTCTTCTCCACGTGGAAGAGGAGGACAGGAAGAGGAGACCTGATAGCACAAAACATAGGGAAGAAGGGTAGGAGGAGACCGTGATGACTTGCCAGGAGAGTAAGGAAGTGGTATGAGAAAATAGTTTCCACCAGAAAGAAGAGGTCATGAGGAGGTGAACATAATACCCCACCAGAAGAAGAAGGAGGTAGGAGGAGCTGCAGAGGTTATATTTTGACAGATGTCAAACCCAATGACATATTGTCTCTATTTCTGATGATTTCTGAGTGTTGAAAATACATTTAACCAACAGATTTACACAGAGATTCTTAGCTAGTCGGTGTTTTTGTGTAGAAGAAATGACAAAAACATTGTTTTAAACAACTATGCGCTGTCTCAAGCAATATTGTTATCTCCTGTGCAACCTTTGTTGAATATGACTCTCAAATACAGATACATTAAGTGCAACTTCATTTTCTTAAAAAACTTTCCAAACTTCATCCTCACCAATCTTTTCTACTTCTTGGTCCACCATTTATATGACCTCTACTCTTCTTTCCCATTCATTCTATTCATTTATTAGCTCCACAACGTGCTCCTTCCATCTTCCCATCATGGTCTTCTCACTTTTTAGAATATTACCATTTCTATCTTTAACATGCCTAACCTTCTGCACATCCTTTCCAGTCTGATCCTTCTGTCTCACCAGTTGATACAATCCATTTTCTCTCCTTAGTGTCCAACCTCTTGTAGAACTTATATGCCTTATTTCTTGCCTTTGCTACCTCCCTCTTTGTTTTATGTTGTATCTTATATTCCTGTCTCTTCTCTTCAGTCATCTTACAGTCCCATTTCTTCTTGGCTAATTTCTTTTTCTGCTTAAATTCTTGCACTTCCCCACTCTACCACCAAGTTTCCTTATCAACTTTTATCTGTCAAGATGGCACACCAAGTACCTTCCTACCTGTCTCTCTAACTCCTGTTGCTGAAGTTGCCCAGTCATCTGGAAGTTCTTATTACCACCCAGAGCCTTTAATAACGTCTCTCTGAACTCCTTGCTATATTTGTCCTTCCTAAACTTCCATCATTTGGTCTTATTCTATGATTTTACTTTTCTTCTCCTTTTCACCAGAACAGTTATCTAGCACACTATCATTCAATGTTGTCTGAACATGCTCTCCCCTGCTTAGGTTACCACTACTACAAAAGAATGTAATTTGTGTACTCCTGCCTCCACTCTTATAGTCACCCTATGTTCCTACCTCTTTTGGAAATAGGTGTTTACTACACCATTCTTTAGGCAAGTTTCACCACAATCTGGCCTTCCTGGTTCCTTTCCTTGACACCAAAACTACCCATCACTTCCTCATTCCCTCTGTTTCCTTCACCAACATGTCCATTCAGGTCTGCTCTGATTACCACTCCTCCCTGGGAATATTCTATCACTTCATCTAGAGATCCATCCAGAATTTCTCCAACTCTTTTATCTCTCATCCAACTTGTGAACCATAACCAGTGACAACATTCAATATCAGACCTTCAACTTCCACCTTTAAACCTATCACTCTATCTGACACTCTTTTGATTGATTGATTGATTGATTTTTATTGTCAATTCTGCATATGTACAGGACATACATAGAAATTGAAATTGCGTTACACTCCTACTCAAATTGCAGCAAACAACAACATTAGCAAAAATAAACTAACACAACTAGTTATATAAAAAAATATAAAAAAATATAAAAGTGAACAGCAGCAGGACCTCTGATGCAACGTGCTCAATAGTGACTAACAGGAGACAAAGGGACGCTGACTGAAGACAATAACATGATGAGAGGTAGATAATGGATGTGCAAGGCCAGAGTAAACAATAGTGCAATATAAAGTATAAACCTGAGAAACTTAGTAAAGTGAAGGTGTGCATACCGGTTCTATATAGAGTCACAGTTATGTACTGATGAGGTGATTAAGTGGAAATGACAATACCAGAATTACCAGAATAAAGAATAAAGAATAAACAGGACGAGTTGATCATAACAGTAGTGCAAAATATAATGCAATAAACAGTAGAGTGAGCTTGTAGGCTGTTAAAGTGACCGATTCATGAACTATTCATAAAACTAAAT